CCATCAGCCCCGCCTCCTTGACCTGTTCATCTTCTCTCCCACCTTTTCCGCCCCTCCAACCTCACTGACCAACCCCCATCACTGCCTAGCTGCACCCACCTATCACCATCCCACCTACCTGCCTCAGCCCCAACCCTTCTCTCTCTCTATTTATTTCCCAGCTCCCTTCCCCCTCCGCCATTTCTGAAGAAGGGTTCAGGCCTGAAACATCAGCTTTCCTGCTCCTCTGATGCTGCCTGGCCTGCTGTGTTCATCCAGCTCCACACTGTGTTATACCAGGCTATAGTCCAACAGGTTTATTTGAAAACACAAGTGACAGGCTTCACCTGGTGAAGGAGCTTGTGATATCAAATAAACCTGTTGGACTATAACTTGGTGGCGTGTGACTTCTGACTTTATTCCTGGTTAAACACAGGTGGTGGGTCTTTCCTTTACAATTTCTTTCTCTTGTTGAAATGTATCTGTGTTTTCTGAAATATTCTGTTCAATATTTGCCTTTCTATCTGTATTGACCAATCCTTTAAGCTAATCTTCTTGTTCACTATTGCTCAGCTGTCATCCACACCTTGTCCCGATTTAAGTTTAAAACACTAGTCTTTGACCTACACCTCTCTCCCTCAAACTGAATGTAAAATTCGATCCTGTCATTTCCACCGGAAGTTGAGTGAATGAGGAATGGTGGGAGGGGGAGAAAGGTTGGGAGCAAGGAGAAGTTGGACAGTTAGAGGGAGGAAGGAAGTAAGGGTGTAATGGGAGGAGGGAATGAGAGTAGGAGGGAGTGAGGGACATAGTGAACGAGTAATACAGGGAGTGAAGGAAGGAGAGAGTGAGAGAATGAGTGATGAAGATGCTGAGGGACGAGGGGAATGAAGAGAGAAGATGAAGGGTGCAGCTCACCATCTTTCCAGCTCAGGGCACTGTCAATCTTTCGAGGGATCTCAGCCCAGGGCCAGAATTCCGAGGGGGAGTTAGGATCCAGTTTCTCTTCCCTCTCATCATAAATCCACATGAGGCCATTCCTGAAGAAATAGGTTTTCCCATCAAAAATCCCAGAGAAGACTGCATCGATCCCACTGACGGAGAGCCCAAAGTCGGATATAGGTCGCGGGTACCCCTCCTGCAACACATTATCCTGAAAGAGCCAGTACTGGGCACCTGCATGTGGGGGAGAGGCAGAAATCAAGTCCCAGGCTCAAACTCCACGCTGGGCCAGAGATCCCAGAGGGTAGGCTGCACACCCTGACATAGGCCCAGACACAGAGACAGACACAGGTACGGACTCAGATACAAATGCAGATGCAGACCCAGACACATACCAAGACATAGAGACAGACCCAGGCCCAGACACAGAGCCAATTGCAAACCCAGACACATACCAAGACACAAGACAGAAACAGACTCAGGTACAAACCCAGATGCAAACCCAGTCACATACCATGACACTGAGACAGACACAAACTCAGATACAAACCCAGACCCAGGCACGGACTCAGATACAAACCTAGACACAGGCACAAACACTGACCCAGATCCAGACAGACACTGACCCAGAGACAGACACAAACCCAGACGCTGACCCAGACACAGACCCCGACCTTATGATCTGACTCCTGACCCAAGGCTTCGAGCCCATCACCTCTGAAGAAGATGATCTTGTGGTCAGACTGCCGCTCATACACAGCGTCTACGTGCTCCAGGTTGCTCGGGAAACCCCACCAGAAGCGGCTGATGCGAGTAGGCCGCGAGGAGGTCAGGTGTCCAGAGAGACTGAGGCGCCAGAAAAAACGGCCTGAGAGAGAAAGCAGAGAGTCAGAGGTCATGGGGAACCAGCAAAGACTAGTGCAACTCAGGGATTCAAAGGTGGTCCCAGCCTGGCCTAGACTGGGGATCACAGCCTGTGTCTAGACTGAGGATTACAGCTTGGGCCTAGACTGGGGATCAGAGCCTGGGCCTAGACTGGGGATCACAACCTAGGCCTAGACTGGGGATCAGAGCCTGGGCCTAGACTGGGGATCAGAGC